GCGAATTTCCGTGTAATAATGTTTTAGTGATTGAATATCAGTAAATCATGAGTTAACTATTGTATAACCAGTGTAATTCAGCGCGCAATTTTGTGCGCTGCGAAACTGTGGTTTTGTTACTGTGAGAATGAAATAAACCAATCACTACTACACTACTACTACTACTACAGAACATGAACATAAACATATACATTACATACAAATGAACATATAAGAGCGTAAATAAATGTCTAATTTCTATTCTTTTCGGCTTCATCTCGCTTAGTAGTGATTGTATGGATATATGCGGCTGTGAGATCACTTAGAGTAGGTTTATCGAAAGTTAAAAGGAATACAAATTTCTCTTTCTTTACTAGTCAAATATCTGAAGTGGGGAAATATACTTAATACATGGCTAAAAAATATGAGTCTATCTCTACTATACAAGGGGCAATCTATGGTGAAATGTATTTCATCTTCTATTTGGCCTAAACTACAGAATTGACAGGTTCTTTGTTCTAGAGGAGTGCGGTAATGTCTTCCTGATTCAATTCGTAATTTGTGACAACTGATTCTTAGTTTTGTAATGGAGGACCTGTGACGTATGTTCGCTAAGTTGAGATATTTTTTCTTATCTTTTCTTATCTATATTTTTCTTTTCTATAATGACAGTTGACACGAGGCTAATCACCGCTGTTTCCCTACAGTTGCCCAGGCCGGCGGGCGTGGAGATACGTAGCCCCTTTGCCTTCTCTCCACCAGGGATACAGACATTAAAAGGTGAGTTCATACGTACTTTTATCCATAATTTTACAGGGTGTGGATGTTTGGTAACGTCGGCCAGTTTTGGCTAAGTTAATTTATAAGGCGCAGAAGGACTGCTACTTATGCAGTTCACAGCTGTCATGTCAAGTGTACTTTTGACGCACATTCTATATCAGCCTTGTCTTCAACTGTTTTCTACGTTTCGATGACTTGTTTAGGAAATGTACACCTTGTTTTGAAGAAATACATTTCAAACCGCTACCATTTGCTCACGGTGACGTTCGCACCACGATATGTTTTGGCCGAGATCTTTATGAGGCGCGGTGAGAGGCATATTACTGTTAACTAACTTGCTGTGGATAGAGGGTAGCCATTTAAACGGGAGTTTTGTCAGGTATCATATACAATGGTAGGAGCTGTATTTCATGTATAGATACCTTCAATGTGTGAAGTCCTGTCTATTGTTTTGTCCTGACACTAGCAACAAGCCTCACACCTTATCGGACCAATGACAGCCTTTCTTCTCTCCATACAGTTGCAATACCATGTGCCTTAGCTAGTGCGCAAGCTCTAGCCGGCAGTTGCAGTGCTATAGCCGGGACAATCACATATGCCAGAAGCCATGGTCACAGCTGACTCAAGCCTCCCGGTCACAGAGCTGATCATGACAACTGACTCCAGTCTCCTTTGTGTAAAATTGTGTTTCGATATTGTTGATGATGGTAGAAGAAGCATGTTGATATCATATGTGTATTAAGTAGTAGCATCATCGACAGAAAGAAGGAAACATGGGAAGGAACCAGATCAGTAGCAGAGCCATCACGTGCAGGCTATATAATGCATTGCTAGCCACAGTAAACCTTACACCAGTTACAGATTACTGGGGTGACTTACATACGTCTGTACTACGATGATACATTGCCTGTGTTTTACGGTATCTTAGTGTATATATTGTAATGACCTATTTTATATGTATTTAGAAAACCTCGCCAATGACGGTTCAAATCGAATCGAGGAGAATGTACACATTTTAAAAACCATGAAGATGCTGAACAATCGGTGTATATGGGAGCAGTGGTACGATTGCACTCTCTAACTAACTTGTAAGAACATGATAGTGCAAGACCTGATGAAACTCCGAACAGTTCCCTTGTAATTACTTAGACAGTTCTCTGTTATTGTAGTCCCTGTTATTGCTCCAGTTACAAATATGTTTGTTTCTTTGAACAAATGTATTATTCTTTGCTGAAGTGATGTACCACTGTTATGCGGTAATACAGAATACCATGGAGGTATGAGAATACTAAGTATAAAGGCACAGGATTTCTACAACAAGGGACGCCAGTTCAAGACGCAAAAGATAACTGAAAGGGTTAACGTATCCAGTATCATATAGTCATATATATAGCCAGTCCGTCTTAAAAGTCTCCCGTGCCCAGTGTGCGGAAAGCCTTGTCTCTGCGTCTTTCCTTTATCCTCACATAGTTGCATTGAAAAGAACTTTATAATTCATCCGTTGGGTTTATGTCCAAACACATACTTTTCATAAAGAGAAGGAAAACTACTAGAAAAAAACAACAACCAAACGCGGTGACATATTGGTTTATATTCAGACAGTCACGACATCTCCTTTAAAACATTGAAAAGAACTTGAATTCATCCGTTGGGTTTATGTCCAAACACATACTTTTCATAAAGAGAAGGAAAACTACTAGAAAAAAACAACAACCAAACGCGGTAACATATTGGTTTATATTCAGACAATCACGACATCTCATTTGAAACATCTGACTTCGAATGCTGACCATGTTCAATTCCAAACAATGATCCTGACCAAGCTGTCGAAAAAGCTCCAAAGTCATTGAAAAACGGCTAAACAGCTGGGAGGGAAGACCTCACCCGCAAGGTGTTGCCAAAAATGAATTCCCTAGGGAATGCGTGCGTGGAATATTTAGAATTCCTGGCAATTCAATCGCAGTACTATACTAAGGGCTCCGCCCCTGAGGCGTCGCCAAAAAATGAATTCCCTAGGGAATGCGTGCGTGGAATATTTAGAATTCCTGGCAATTCAATCGCAGTACTATACTAAGGGCTCCGCCCCTGAGGCGTCGCCAAAAAGCCCTGTGTGTGGGAGACCCTATTCAACACTTGTGTGGGAGAGACAGAAAGCTGTGTGTGTGGGAGAGAGAAAACTGCTGTATGTGAGAGACCGTTTTCCTTCACTTGTGTGGGAGAGAGAAAAATTCTGTATGAGTGAGACCCTAATCCTTACTTGAGTGGGAGAGAATATTTGTTCTCTATATGTGTATAATTTTGCAACACTTGGCCCTCGATACCTAACACCTCAAAACACAGTGAAAAGCAAGCTGTTTAACGTCAACAGGATCATTCCGATGCCTTCCAGTGCTTTGAAAATGAGGGTTACCCTATTTTCGCATTGTATTCTGGGGATGGGGAACTGGTGAATTGCTGTTTCTACCAAGTCACTTTGCCAACAGGTGCAAATAAGTGTTGTTAACCAGACCATATATTATTTTAAAATGTTGTACATATCTACCTTTCTCCACCAAAGGGTATTAACAAGCACATATTGGTCAAATCTAATATTATGCATGTCTGTCTTTACAACTGAACTGAATGTATGTTGCTGCCAAATCGAACTAGAGGTCGGAGATCTCATGTCTTCGTCAGAGGTACATTGTTCTAGAGAAATGAACATCTGTATTCTTTACTTTTTAATGGTCAATTTGAAGAACCAAAATATAAAAGCCCTTTACTCTTTTTTCGCGCTCTCACATTAAATTCAATGTCTCCAGTGGACGTCATCCGTAGCAATTACTTGATGTGGCTGCAGTACCATAACAAGCGCCAGGGGGCCCAAAATCTAACCATATCAATCTCTCATCAAGTCCTATCCATCTATTAGATATAAAGACAGTCCATTTAAGCCTGCTCGAGTTATCGTGTTTACAGACACACAAACGATCGCCGATAAAAAATAACCTTCTTGGTGAAGGTGAAAATTACAACATTTTATAGGAATGACAATCTTTGTAACGTAAGGACTACAAAAACCTTGTGTTTTTCTATTCATTGTGAGATCACTACTAGTAATATACAGCAATATAGTTGATGGCCTCCAATTTTCACGGCGGTCGGTTGCTAGGCTAAAATCGCATTACTAGGGAGGTATCGGGTTACAGAACGCGTTCGAACGTGGCCGCGCGGGAGTCCCGGGCCGGCCCGGAGGTAACGGGTAAAATTTGAAAATAAACAAAGGTAATTGGAGAGTAAATACTCGTCAAAATAAAATGTAATAAGTGTTTTTGTTTACCTCAAATGTTACTCTTGCACTGCCTTTGCTCCACTTTGTGTACATTTGCTTCCAAATGAGATCAATTTCGGATTTCAAAAAGGGGTCACGAGAACCAAACAACTGATTTTAAGAGGCCCCGAAAATTAGAATGAGGTTAGATTTTTGGATTTTTAGAAATATTACAGTAAATTTAAACTTTCTGTCTTAGGATTTTTTTATTTTTTAACTAAAACTCGACTTACAGTCAAAAGAAGAGCTAAAAACGCAGTGTTTTAACTTTAAATACCGATAATTCATAATCGCGGCCATATTTAAAAAATCCCTAAGACAGAAATCTGCGGAAATCGTTCCTCTTCCAAACAAGCCCTCAATGAGGTAATTTGAGCTATTTTTGGGAATGGTTAAAATACCATGTTTGCACGCATGCTGTGCCACTTGGATATGGGGACCTGGATTTTTATAACAGCGTCAACAAGAATTCTGACCTTCAAGGTCACCCACGATGACGGCAGTAGCTTCGTTACATGTTACATATCCACAATAAAATCACGGCATAGATGTAATGTTTTGAAAACGGTTCATATTTGTGGAAAGGTGGATTTTTCCTGTTCCGTGGTTCCCAAGTAAAAAAGGGCTTGAAGTAGCCGGTTGTAGCGGCTTTACTGTAAATGACCGCGGGTAACCCCAGATCGAACGCCCGCTCTATTCGAATGACGTCATATCGAACAAGATTCGCGGGTTCGGGGGATTCGATCTCCATAGTAGCGGAGTGGGACTTTTGGGCCCAAATCTGACCATCGTGTTTAGCCTTAGAGCCAAATGCTCATGTAAAATGACAAAAAAAATCACATCATTGCAGGTGAAATAGCACAAACGCTGCAAACGACTTACTAATGTATGGTTCTAAGAAGATACACACAAAAATTCACACAGTGTGACGTTATGGAGCTGGTCGGAGTTTCATCTCTGTGCTCTTCAGGGAGTAGTTATTACCCTTCCAGTACTGCCAGTAGACTCCGTCGTTGTTACCCTCATGAGTACCCAAGTGGTACAGGCCGTTCAGGTTGGAGTCGTGGCAACGTTTGTACCACCACGCACCTTTGTAATCCTGAGCACAGCTGGACGTGATCTCGTCATTATCTCTGTCCTTGGTACTGAATGGTTTTCCGTCATGGTACGTCAAGCTGTCTCCTGTGACAAAAACAGACATTTACTCTACATAACAAGACGAGGTATTCTATTTAATGATGCGTGTTGGCAGTTCTTCCTTAAACGATACTGCAAAGAATCCGTTTTATGTCAAACATTTTATTCAAGTTGTCATCAGTTTTAGCATCCTGTATTTCAAGCTTTTATCTTTAAAAAATCTATCACGATTGTAACTATGTTACAGTTTAGATTCAGCTCGAAAAAAACATTGAGAAAAGTTCACAAACAAAGTCATGTTGCCTATTTACACACGTCTACGATGCCATGATACAAGAACGTATGTAACACGTTCCAACCTTACCTGCAGTACCGCTGTAAGTCCCTATGTGGAGCTTGTAGTTCTGTGATTCAGGTGAGATGGCAAACGTGTCGTAAGCGGCGTACCGCGTCTCTCCCTCCACATCCTCCATATCCACCCTGAGTTGGTAGACTTTCTGCACAGCCAGGCGGTACAAGTTGTCATTCCCCAGCCAGAACTCGCCGTTCAGGTTGGAAGGGAAGCCGGTCCTGTAGTCCGCCCAGCCCCGGTAGAAGTCCACGCTTCCGTCTCGGCGTCTCTGGAATAACTTTGAGAGCAAAAAGAAAACCCGAGATTGAGAATAAATTCTCGACTTGCTGAATTCCCCATGTCAAGCCCTTCAACCTCTGAGACATTTAACATCTTCTCATTCTCAGTCAATCCCCCACCAACGTGCTGCCATCCTACACTAGTGGCACAGACATACACTCACAGCTCATCCTCCCAAAACAATATTTTATATCATGAAGGTATAAAAAGATTACAAATATACCTCTAAGCAAAACTCCTCAAAAAAATAAAATTTAAAAAAATTATACCCACAAATGCAGCTGTATTGTGCATTAAAAAATTATAGTTTTCAGACCAGACTTACCGTCCAGCCGCCTCCGTCCGTGTCCATATCACAGAAGACGTTGAAGCCGCCCAGGTTGTCCCGTGGATAAACCATGTACACGCCGCTGGGCGTGGTCTCGTCGTTGTCAAGGATGTCCTGACAGTCTTGTGGCTTGTCGGAGTCTGTGTCGTTGGCTGGGGTACACGGTGTAGTGTACAGTTATTGTAACATACTGGTGCGTAGCATAATGTATCGATGTATTTTTATTTATTTATTAATTGGCTTCACCACAAGAAATATACAAGTTGAAGGGGATGAAAAACAAGTGTATGAACACCTTTGCAAGTTGCCCTTTTAAAATTATGATAGTGGCAAATATATAGACCGACATAAAAGGCCAATATAACAGCTGAAAACCAATTTACCTAAATTCTTACCAATTTCGTGAAGACGCTTTTCCAAGGCGGTGATTCGGCTGCGTTCGTTGTCTAGGTCGCGTTTCAAGGCGTCAACAGTGGTGGACATGCCGGCAACAGTGGTGGACATGCCGTCTTGGTCGCGCTTCAAGGCGTCAACAGTGGTGGACATGTTGTATTGGTCGCGTTTCACGGCGTCAAAAGTCGTCGACAATTGAGATATTTCCTACAAGCGTATACACGTGCGTCAGAATGCCGAACGTAAGAAACAAACGTACGCAAAACAGCAGTAAATTCCTTTTCGTATCCTCTTTTAAAAGCAGAATGAACACTAGAGGTCCATGATCTCATACCTTCGCCAAATGATGTTAACCCTTCCGGTTGACGAATTATACAATTTTAATAATTGATTTCGCAAATTAGAATGCCATTTTGCATGGATTACATCAGTTGATCATATTCTCCACCCAATGACAGCCTTATCTTAACAAAATAGGCTATTCTGGCACTTCCTCTTATGCAAATGAGGTCATAATGTGAATAAATTATCTTCATTGATGTTCACCTTCACTTAACTTCCAAATGCGGCAAGTATGAAATTACCAGCAATTACAACTATGAAATTATAACAATTTCCCATTAATTATGCAAATTAGGTCTTCATTTACATAATCTATAACCTCATGTTCTTCTCGTTTTCAATTACATGTCACAAGTGTTTCAAGTCCTATTATCGAACGAAGCAGATTTATAGAATTTCCTCATTAATTATGCAAATTATCGCCTGATTTACATAATTGTAATCTGATTATGTCAAGCATCACTACCTACATACCAAAATCATGGCAATCCGTTAACCGGTTCTTGAGTTATCCACCTTCGGAGATTCTTCAAGAAACGCTCCTGCAGTTCCAGAACAAGCTGCTAGGGGGCCCAAACTCATGCCACTTCTTTCCTATCCCAAGAGCTACTAGTATCTACCAACCAAAATTCGTGACCCTAACATATCTAGTTCGCGAGATATCAAAACCGGACGTTCTGCTGCCGTACCAACAAAAGCCTCCAGGGGGCCCAAAATCTAATCATTTCTAGGTCTCATCAAGACCTACCCACATACCAAGTTTCATGACAATCCACATTAATCTTGAGTTATGCTGTTCACAGACAAACAAACGGACAGACATACAGACAGACAAACGCTACAAAAAACATAACCTTCTTGGCGAAGGTAATAATTATAAAATAGAACAGGCTTTATGGTACAATGCTGTTACCTGTTTGTTGATGAACGTCAGAGGGGCGAGTCCCACAGAGACAAGGCTCAGCAGCACGGCGATGCCGGCGGCCACGCCGCTGCGGTGGGCTCGGAGGAAACTACAGACACCACGGCGGCCGCTCGCTCCACCCGGATACCTGCCGTCTAGTAAAAAAACATACTTACCAGAAACCAGAAATACAAGAGGTATACAATTTTTGCATGAAAATGAAAACAAAAATAATTTTAAACGCCTGAATTTAAGAAAAATTAAAAAAAAAAACTCTACGGGTATTAGGGAATCACTCTCTCTACCCCAAAACTACGAAATATCCGCCTGTCTGAAGGTAGTTTTTCTTGGGATTAACTTTTATATTGTTTAATAGAAAAGATAATCGGTGAAGAGACTAATGACAAGAGTTTCTAAATATGTAAAAATTACGCAATTCAGCCTATGGCTGAGATGTACTTTTGACCCGATCAAAATGATCAAATGAACCCTGAAATGAACCATTCATTCATTCATTCATTCATTCATTCATTCATTCATTCTTTCATTCAAATAGAATACATCGAAATGAAAGTAGAATTAAGGAGGAGGAGGAGGAGACGAGGAAACAGAGGAAAAACAATATTTTATTCCATTCCTATAGTATGGACTGAAATAATCACCCAAATCACCACCGCATTTCCAAAACAAGCTGATACAATGACCAAACCTACATTAATATTACGTTTCCTCACATAAAAGCTAGCTGCCACCAAAAAAGCATGTCCAGGACATATAAGATACAGAAATTGTATGTGCTGATGCATTACCCCGAGCATTCACCAGGAGGCGCATATTTGACCTTGACCTTTTTTTTCGCAAGACCTACCACCATACCGAATATCACTATGACAATCTATTCAGGAGTACTAAAGTCCAGAAGGGAGTGCTATATTCCGACAGACATTAATTTTAGGAAGTGAAAAATGCATTTACTTGACAGTATACAATAAAATGCCCATTATGCGCACAAGTCTTAAAATGCATCGAATCCGGGACAAACTCTCGAAATACCCTCCAAACTATCCCAGAATACACCAAGCTACCCCCATTGGTATCTATGTTTTGACCAAGAAAGTTACGTTACAGACCTAAGTAATTTCGGGGGCAATAAGGAAAAATCGTACTGTTTTGTGTTCTTTTGTATGTTACCAACCATTGGCCTTCTCGGTGTCCTTTATTCAATATCGCCTCTAATTTATGCAGAAAACACTGACGATGAAATATAACGGTGTGATCTGATCATCTTTTCCATAAGTGGCGTAATCTAATTATCTGTTCAATTGATATTTACATACAAATAAGTTGAGAAAATCAAAACAAAAAGTATCGATAAAACTGGCAGCTCACTGCATTAGACATCCTGATATTATAGTATCCAAGCCACAAGTCAAACAAAGTAAAGCAAGTAAGTTCTCAATAACCAGCTTATTAGTGTGCTTGTCACTATTGTTTTCGCCAAAAATGTTAATGTTGACTCGAGGTATTTGAGAATTGCATAATCAAAAGTTCCCGGATGTATCGATTGTGGTTCAGCATGGAGGAATATGATATTGATATTGCTTTACAAACATGCGCCGTGCAAGTCGTACACAGGAAACTATGTAAAAAGTCGGCTAGTTATATATTCAATGCAGCATAATCTACCGGAAAATAGCATGCGCACTCCCTTCTGGACCACCAATACACCAATTTCACACTTCCCATAATGCCTAGTAACGGTCACGGATATGCAGCGATATGACGTAAGACCATCCCCCCTCCCCCTTCCTCGATGTAATTAGAGAAAATGACGAAGCTTCTATCGTTCCACCTTCTACCGAAGACTCTCCTATTTGGTAATGCATGCGACCGTGCGAGTAGGAGAGTCTTCGGTAGAAGGTTGAACGATAGAAGGTACGTCATTTTCTCTAATTCCAACAAAAATGCAATTATGGCATGTGCTTTATACTATATAAATAATTAAAAACAATAGTTGACCAGTTTGTCGATAGAATTTGTTGGAAATATTACATCGAGGAAGGGGGAGGGGGGATGGTCTTACGTTATATCCCTGCATATCCGTGACCGTTACTAGGCATTATGGGAAGTGTGAAATTGGTGAATACACATGCGCGCGCACCCACACACGAACACAGGCAAAAGATAATCGGCTACTCCAAGGTCCAAATTCCTCAGCTAATGCATCCGTGCAATATTAAGAGCTTTTGTAAATGTTGGTGTCTTATTTTGCCCCAATCATTATGAAAAAAAAAGTTCTATTCTTGTCGAAATCCATTATGCAATTGACATCCTCATTCACATGATTTATGTATATACTACCGCTGCACTGCACAAGTACTAGTACTTGAGCGTATTATGAAACTGTAAGACTGGTGAATTGTAGCATTTTTAGATTTTGAATTAATTTTTTGACTGGCTTGTAATTGCCATGTAACCGAAATGAAACGAAACCTACAGTGCCGGAAGGCAGAAAAATGTCCAGACTATGCATGATGTAATAAATGACTAATATTATAAAATGGTGGACGTGCCAACCACCACTAAGTATCTGATATCAGCCCAGAAAAAAAAAAGAAACAGCCATGCCTTCAAACAATTATCAATAAAAAATTGAGGTGTTCAAAGGCTTGTGTTTTCCAAGAACTGCAGACTGGAACTCTTTGCCACCAAGTGCAGGGGCGTCATCACTAGAAAGCTTTAAACAACTCATGCAATTAAATGTGCAGACAGAAATTGGGTGTAACAAGTCGTTCGGTGTAATGTCGCCGCGTGCCTGCGAAGCTGGTGTGTTACGCCGAAGATTATACCGGCTATACTGATACAAAAGTATGCAAAATAGCATGCCCTGGAAGCCAGAACTTGTTTTCCGGGCCGCAAGAGCCCTTCACCCGCTGGTGTAGATTACCGCTACGGGGGAGTCTAGCCCGGGGGGAGTTTGGCTGGCCCTAGTAATAGGACCGGACAAACCCCTCGGCCTCAACTTCCCCGTAGCGGTAATTTAGATAGGCGGGGGAAGGGCTCTTGGCTGCCGAATAAAAAGGGCTAACGGCCCGATACTAGTCTTGCATCCAGGGTAGCAATAGCAAGATACAAGACTATCGTCTTCCTGTAAAAATATCCACTGTAAAAGACGGATTTAAAAATGCTGGTTACCTGTTGACATGTACGCTGCGTGACGTCTCACCGCCTCGGCTTCTTCGTACGTGTGTGAAGACGCATCGTCGTCTTCTGGCTGCTTGTCGGGAGCGCCGTTGCCCTGGCGGACATGCCCGCGTGAGCCACCCTGATGGACGGGACGGGTCTGGGGCGGCCCGCTGGTGTGGCCGCTGCCGGGGCCGGAGAAAGAAGGCCGGACAGCCTCTGCCTGCTCGTACATTTCACCGTACTGTATTAACTGTGTACTGACTGTGGCAAAAATTATGAATATACAAAATAATACCTTGATTAGTCTGGCTTCGTAAGCTCACGTGGAAGAATCACGTGGCATGAGGGGTTTGGTGAGATGACGTGAATGCGGCGACGGCAAGTTTTAATGTGAGAAATAAACCAATCACTACTACATGTACTACTACTAGTAATATTTTCTCTTTTTTTCTTCCACTCAAATATCTTTTAATGGATAATTATTTTGCATTTTATTGTTAAAAAATTTATTTACCTTTTAATCCTTTAGGTTCTTTTCCAATTCTAGTCTGGAGGAAATATATGCGCCATTTTTTTTTGAAGGAGATAGAGCGGTCCTCAGCAACTACAGACCTGTTTCACTGACCTGCATATCCTTTAAACTAATTGAACAACAGTGCATCAACAACGATGAAATGGGTGCTAGAAATGAAAAGAAACCAACAGTGGGTGTCACTGGAAGACAGAGGAAAATGTCCAGACTATGCATGATGTGAATAATGACAAATAAACTGATGGACGTCCCAATTACTAAGTACCTAATACCAGCCCAGAAGAGAACAAGAAAAAGCCATGCCTTAACCCTACCTAGACCGGGCTTTTTTTGACATG